TAGCATATATATCTAAGATTAAACACCCAACTAATTTATTTGAAGTGAAAACATTCATTATCTCTTAAATGTTGCGACTAACTAACCTTAAACTAAGGCCCCGTTCATTTCACCGATTCGAGTTTAGAATTCGAGTTTTTGCTACAATAAAAAGCTCTCAGAAACAGTCACATCTAACTTTTTTGCTACAGTAAAAAGCTCTCACATAAAGTCACATCTCAACTCGAATTAAAAACTCGAATCAGCGAACTAAACGGACCCGAAGTGACAACTCCACTATTCCGTCCAAAAAATAGCATGTTTCAAGATTAACATTCGTAAAGAGTCATCTCACAAAAGCCCCAAATGAGGCTTTCCGAAAGTTAGACACTCTTGGTATGTCCCCACGAAAAAGATACATGCCATAAGATCGTAACATGCCTTATAGTGTTCCCTTTTTGGTACCTCAATTAGTAGGGACATGATCTTTCGATATCTTTTTGATAAATTCATGCAACTTTCATTTGAAGCATTCACAATCCATTTTCTTAAAAAATGCGTTGCATACTTTCCTTTTAAGAGTTGTGATTAACACATTTTCTTTGGCTTCTCAACGATAAGTTCTTGCGTACACGTCGGTTGAGATCAGAAAGGCCCAACAACCCCATCCAAAAGGCAAATAAACTTCTAAGCTAATGTGGGAAATTTATCAAATGACAACCTAATTAAAGAGTTTTCTCATGATAAATTTATCACGCAAACTTGGCTAGCGAAACCTCGAAATCTTGCAACACTTTTGTTTCTAGGTGAACTATCCTAACCTCATGATCATTTTGAAGACCCACACAAGAAAATAATTTTTTTTTTTAAATAATAATAATAATAAAAGACAAAAACAAAAATGAAAGGTTAAAAGTAATACATGCGGAATAAGTTTACCTTAATTAAAATATTTTTTCATTGCGTTACAATATTCTTCCTTTAATTTCTTAATAAAATTGTTGTACTAATCGTGTTGATAAAATGAAGCTCTTATTTTAGCTGCAAGGCTACAAGCTTTTAGTCACTGAAGACATTGTTCTTATTAGAGTACATTGCCTTTGATTAGACATTATCATGTGATAGTAGTGTGCTTAGTTGTATGGATTTATGCATTATATATGTAAGCAATATTGTATAAATTGTTGAATGAAATACAATAAAATACTCCAAGAGATATATACTTTTGAATGTGATGTTTACCAAATTGATGGGAGATATATTCGCTAAACAAGCCCCATTGCTTTTTGCCTGAAGAAAGCCTTTATTAGTACGTACTTGGCACTTAAAGGCATGCGAACCCTAACAAAAGTAAAAAATGACGACATTATTCTCACACTTTGATCCCGTTTTTAGTTAGTTTGAATCACAATTTAAATTTTTTTATAGTATTTTCTCTTATGAACATTTAAATATATGTTTTTTTCTATTATAGTATTTTTTTTTATACAAATTTTTTTTTTAACTCAAATTTTTAATTTAAACGAGCGAAACAATAAGGGCTAGTAAGCTATATCTTAAACTTTTGATACTAGTCAATAGATATACAATACGAAAATGATATTACTATTTATGCCCAAGTAGAGATGAATTAAAAAAATAAAAATAAAAATAAAAAAGGAAAACCAGCAGCCCGTGGGAACAAGCGGAACTATCGACGTTGCTGCCGATACGATTTGGTGACAAACCAACACTTGAAGTTGCCGTCTAAAAAAAGAATTAAGCTGAAAAAAAAAAAAAAAAAGTGGCGCCAAAAAAAAAAAAAAAAAAAAAAAAAAAAAAAAAAAAAAAAAAAAAAAAAAGACGTTCTGCACAGTTTGTTTCAATCATTTGGATGATAAGTTTAATCAAATTAACCTACTTTGAAACTTTGTGAAAACGATGATGTTTAACTTGAAGTGTTCAACTTTCAAATAAAAGTGAAGTCATTCTCACTCATGATCTTAAAAGATTAATAATAATAATAATAATAATAATAATAATAACATGTCAAAAGTCCATTCTTTCCTTTAGACACGTGGCATCACCTTTTTCTTTTCTTTTCTTTTCTTTTTTTTTTAATTTTAATGATTCTCTACTCAATTTTTTTCTCGTTGAAAAGACCCTCATAAATATTTTTTTTTTCTAATTACTTTACTGAAATCAAATCTTTTTAAATGTGTCCCTATCTAAGTATTTTTTTTTTCTTTATAACCCTCTCAAATACTATTTTTTTCATATGTACCCCATAAATTTAGTCTCCAATATACTTCACTAAAAACTTTGTTTTCTTTTTAATTATACTCTTGCTTAAATTTTTATTTTTTATTTACTAAACTAAACTTCTAAAGGAGTAATAAGTCAATAAAAAAAATTATTCTTGAAGAAATTTTAAATCTTTTTATCCAATATGATCTTCTCTGCCCCCTCCCCCAGTCTCTCTCTCTATCAACTCGATGTCCATGAATGTCGTCCATTCTCATAATATATCACTGTCACCACTTCTCTCTCTCTCCCTCTCTCTATGTGAATATAAATCTGAAACATGGAAAATTCTACGCCTAATTTTACTTGGACAGTTTAAAACCATCACGAAATTTATAAGTCACCTAAATTACATTTTCAACCCCCCACAGAAATTTAAAACAAGTGATTTGATTCAGTTTGATATTCTCACCTCTTTCATGATTCAGGTGATGAATTCTAATTTAAACTCTGAATCAATAATCTCATCTTTGGTTTGATCATCGTGAATAATAACCACTCAACTTGAATTCAGGATACCCCAAAGTCGTACTCAAACCTAAAGGCAAATTCAGGAATATGAACCACTCAAAACCCTAAAATGGGCATCTTAGTCAAGACCAAGTAGAAAATTTGTCTAAAATGAGAGTTTCCAAAAGGTATCTATTCTTGAGTCCATATCTGCTATTCTAATTTTCATATCTCAGTAACTGTCCATCTACTAATCATTTGTCATGTCATTTAAATTTAAGAATCTAACCACATAAATAGAAATAAAATATTAAAAATATTTAAGCAATGTACGAGGTGTGAAAATATAATTAAAGAGACAAATATCGAGACATGAAAATGAAACATATCTCAATTCATCTATTTACTCCTCTTAAAAAAAATAAAAAGAATAAAGGTATCTTTAAATGAAGGTTATGAACTTTCCGCCTTTATGAAACATGAAAAATGAAATAAATGCTAGGTGGTAATCTTGTGGGTTTTGTCGATATGATCATAGTATTTAATTCACATTTTTATGTCTCTTACAATCTTACGACCGACCAAATTGGATTCCTCATGGAACATATGAACTTATGAGTTTGCATTTTTTTTCCCCCTTTTTGGGATAGAGGAGCATGAGTTCATGTCTAATTTCGAAGCGTCAATTTCAAGCAAAATAATAAGGAGGAGCACCTATAAACATCAATCAAAAAAAAAAAAAAAAAAAAAAAAAAAAAAGAAGCTAATATAAAGGCTTATTACAGTGATACTTCCCGTCTCTTTCCAAATTACGAATAACACTCCTTTGACCAAATCTAATAACATCAACACCTCTTATCTCAAACCCTGTTAAATTCAAGTGAAAAATGTCAAAAGTACCCTATTTAATATTTTCTTTCTTTCTTTTTTTTTTATTTGATTTTTTAATGAAAAACATGTGTTATGATGTGTTAAAATATTTTTTAGAATGTTAATGTAAAAATATGTTAAAAATGTTAATCTGTTTAATTTCTTGTATTATATTTTTTTGTCATTAAATTTTTAAGGTTTTTAATTTAATATGTTATTTTAGTGGATGGATAACACTACTAAAACAAAGGATTTTTTAGAAAAAAGATAAAAAAAAAAAAAATTATTTTTATTAGAGTGAAAACTAGAGTTACAAATGTGTCAAATTAACTAAACTCATTTTTTGATTATAAATAAAGGTAAAAATGTCATTTCAAACATTATTATATAGCTTGGAAACATTTTTTTTTTTATACTTGGAGGGGTATTTTTATATTTATTTTTGTAAAATTTAACTTTCAACATTGATGGTCAACTCATGATCAACTAATAAGGAAGGTTTCTGTGTAATTTTTTTAAAAAAGTAAAAGGATGTTAACGTGATTAGTTTTGTTTAAACGGGTGGCTTTGCTATTTTTATAAAATACAAAGAGTGTAAGTGTAATAAGTCCCTAGTTTAATTAAATTTGAGCCCTCGGATGTTGGGCCTTATCCCAGTATTTTTTTGGCCGGAATAACTGTTTATCCTCTTAATTTCATTTATTTAGAGTTTGTTTGTTTTATAACTCAAATTAAGAACTTGAGTTGTATATATGAGATAAAAATATTATAGTAAAAAAGTTAAATTTAATTTTTTATGAGAAAAAATACTGTAATAATAAAATTTGAGTAGAGTTATGAAAAGATAATGCTTTAGTTTAATTAATTTTTTATGGATAAATATTTTCTTTTAAGATTGGCATTTTCATTTAACCTTCGTTCATTTCACCGATTCAAGTTTAAAATTTGAGTTTTACAACAGTAAAAAAATTCTCAGAAACAATCACATCTAATTTTTTTATTATAATAAAAATTCTCACATAAAATCACATCTCAACTCAAATTAAAAATTTAAATCAACGAACTAAATCGCCTTATTTATTTGATTGTCTATATTACTGCTCACACACCATCAGCCAAATTTGAATCAGCCATTGGATGCCACAAATATATCAAACTAGTCTATAATCCTCTGGTCTCGTTCCCACTACAAAATATCAAGATATCCAACCATCATCACTTAATCTAATGGCTTATATTTCTCTACCCAGTTATCCCTTGACACGTATCTCTTATTCTAAATATTGCCGCACCAAATCTCAACTCTTAACGACTCAAAGAAATCGTAAATTATTTCTTAATCACTGAGATTAGTAAAGACCCCTTTTGGCGTCTATAAATAGGAAGAAATAAACACTCATAAAATCAGACAAAGAAAAACAGAGAGATAGAGACAGAGAGAACGATCACAATCCAAGGTCCAGATCTTCCGGCGAACGACCACCGTCTGCGGCGGCCCGGAAAACTTTAAAGCTCGAGTTATTCGCCGGCGATCGCGACGATGAGTTCGCAGCATCGCCAGCGTAAAGGCGCGATTAAGGTTTCGGAAAACGGAACTGAGTCAGCGAAGACGACGATGCAGACGAAGAGGCCGAGATTGGTGAAGTACGAGGAGTTGCCGGAGTATTTGAAGGACAACGAGTTTATTTTAGACCATTACCGGTGCGAATGGCCGTTGAAGGACTTGCTCCTCAGCCTCTTCTCTCTCCACAACGAGACCTTCAATATTTGGACGTAAGTTTTAGAGAGAGAGAGGGAGAGGGTGTTAATTTCAGTTTAATTTATTGTTAATCAATGTTAATTAGAGCTTAATTTTGGAATTAATTTTGATTTCTTTACAGGCATTTGTTAGGATTCCTGTTATTCGCCGGATTGACGGCGGTGAGCTTGACAGGGAAGACGGAGCTCGCAGGTCCTCTCAGTAAATTCTCAAGGTTCGCAAGGGCTTTATCATCAGTTCATAATTTGGATTTCGTTATTTTATGGAAATTTATAATTTATTTATTTATTTATTTTTCGGTACAGTGGATCGGTTCTTTTTCCGTTGATGATGATGAGAACGACGACGGAACTCAACGTCTCAAGTAACGTAATTCAGGTGCGTTTTGTCGTTTCTCTTATTTTGTTTTTCAAAAAGGGCATAAATCGGAGTCAGAAAACTCAGACTTGTTTGCCTGTGGGCCCGCCGAAAAATGTACCTTTTTATGCGCGAGTGATCAAGATGACGTTAGGACCAGACTTTTTGCAACTTGTTGGTTTGGACGGTGACGATTATATATGCGTCTAATCAATCACAGACACGCTAGAGCTGACAACCGTTGGATGTATTCTTTCGCATTAGCTTCGATTTCAGTGCTTCACGTGATCGGTTTTTTTTTCTCTTTCGCTTTCGGAATATTTTGACACTTGACCTCTTTATTTGCGCTCCGTTTGATTAGAGAGCATGAAGGAAGAGAGAGTTAAAATGATAGAGAATTATAACGGTTGTGTTTGAAATTATTTTTGTTTTTATTTTTTACTTTTTTTAAGAAAAAAAAATTATTTGCGCTCCGTTTGATTAGAGAGCATGAAGGAAGAGAGAGTTAAAAGGATAGAGAATTATAACGGTTGTGTTTGAAATTATTTTTGTTTTTATTTTTTACTTTTTTTAAAAAAAAAAATTGAAAATAAAAGAGAAATGATGTTTGGTATAATTAAAGATAAAAAATAAAAATAAAAATAATTTTTTTTTTGTTTAGTGTAAAATGAGAGAGAAATTTAAAATAATTTTTAGTCATTTTTCATTTTTTGTTTATGTTTTCTCCTCTCTCGAGTAGAGAGAGACATTAATAGATTTTTTTATACTGAAAATAATCTCTCGATAAAACTATCAAACGCATTTTCAAAAATGATTTCTATCTGAAATTGAAAACGTTTTCATTTTTATTTTTATACAAAAAATAATATTATTTTGGAACAAGTTTCAAATTTTAAACCAGAATCACTCATGATTCTAAAACCACCCCTTCTTGATTCAAGGTAATTCAAACATCTGATTCTGAATTATGATTTTAGAATCATGATTTGAACCCAAAATCATAAATCATAGTTCTGATTCTAAAATCCTAATTAGAATCACTTTAATTTGAATTCTCGTACTAAACGAACCCAAATAATAGGTCTAGAAAGAGACTCTCTCCTTAAATATCTCCTCTCCCTCCTCTTCTTCTTCCTACTAAACAAGAGATTCACCTTCTCCTTCCACCCTTATTGTTTTTTTCTCTGCTTGAATTGACATTTGGTTGAGCTCGTTAACCTAATAACTATTTCTTGGTTCCCAAAGAGTTTTCTTTTTCTATTTTTTTGTTTTTTGGGTCAAAGTTAACAAAGAAGGTTGAATGAGTGATATTTTGCTAGAGTATGAAATTTGACCCACCGCAATACAGTTTTAGTGGTCACATTTTTGTTAAATTTCATGAAATTGTAATTACGATATCATCTAATAATTCAGAATTGTGTTATAATTCTCATTAAAAACATATTGATTAGACTAAAACAAAATTATATTAAGGGCTCATTTATTTTATATATTCAAACTCAAATCATTAATTCTGATACAATGTTCTTCTCATAAAAAATTTAAATTTCAAATGCCGAAATTAAGAATCAAGTTTGAATATATGTTCTAAACGGGACCTTGGTCTTATAATTTCATAATGTTTGACTTATATCGTAATTGTAAGGACGTAGTTATAAACTTATCAAAATTACTGAAAATCAAATCATGTTTACAAAGTTAAATTTGATTAGACTAAAACAAAATTATATTAAGGGCTCGTTTATTTTATATACTTAAACTCAAATCATTGATTCTGATATAATGTTCTTCTCACAAAAAATTTAAATTTCAAACGTTGGAGTCAAGAATCATAGTTTGAATATATTTTCTAAACGGGAGTTTTTAGTCTTATAATTTCATAATTTTTGACTTATATCGTAATTGGAAGGACGTAGTTATAAACTTATCAAAATTACTGAATATCACGTTTACAAAGTTAAATTGTATGAAAAAGCCTAACTATAATCTGAGAGCTTGGCCTTTTTTATACAATTTAAGCCTAACTAAAATCTGAGAGCTCACAAATGCACATTAAAATGTAGTACATGTTTTTCTTCGTCCTCGGTTTCATATATATATATATATATATATTTTGATGTTGGGAGATTTGAGTATGAATAGTCATTTTTTTTATATTTTATTGTCGTTTGTTCTAACATTTTAATTTAGGTAAGTTTTGTTATTTTTATGTCGTTTATTTTAGTTGTTATTTTGTTATTGTTTTCTAGGTGAGCTATAATTAGCCACTTAGCTATTGTATTAGGTAGACTTGAAAATTTTAATAATTGAATTAGAGTTGAGTTTCCTCTGCAACATAGGGGTACCTTGTAGTGTTTCTTTTAGATAGATTTAGGATTGCATGTCCTTTCTTCCGTCTGGGTTTAGCCAATAATATCACGTTTATATATATATGTGTGTATGTATGTGTGTATTAATACATTCTTTTAAATTAACCACACATTTTGACATGCCACATCAATTGTCATGAAACTATCAATTGTGTAGTAATAATACGAAAATTGCACGTACGTGTAATCTTATTCACCTTAATTTTCTGGCTGCAGGATCCTCAACTGAGGCAGATTTCACCCCCATCAACTTACAACGAATCTTCTTTACACGGCAACAATATCATCCCACTATGGCCGTGGTTCATCTTCTTGGCAGGCTCAATGACCTGCTTAATCTGCAGCACAATCTCCCACCTCCTCTACGCCCACTCCAAGCGCTTCAACCTCTTCTTCTGGCGCCTCGACTATGCCGGCATTTCCATCATGATCGTCTCCTCCTTCTTCGCCCCCATATACTACGCCTTCTCTTGCAACCCCTACTCCCGCTTTTTCTATCTCACCTCCATTTCACTCCTTGGCATTCTTGCCGTCATCACGCTTCTCTCGCCTTCTCTCTCCTCTTCCCATTATCGCCCTTTCAGGGCTTACCTCTTCCTCACCATGGGGTTCTCCGGTGTGATCCCCGCGGTGCACGCCATTGTGCTTCATTGGGGTAGTCGCCATATCGCTGTGGCTATTTGTTATGAGATTGCCATGGCTTGCTTCTATGCTTTAGGAGCTGCCTTCTATGTGAAGCGGGTACCGGAGAGATGGAGTCCTGGAAAGTTCGATATTGCGGGGCATAGCCATCAGATCTTTCATGTCTTTGTTGTTCTTGGGGCTCTTGCTCACGGTGTCGCCACTCTAATTGCGTTTGACCTTCGCCGTGCAATGCCAACTTGTTAATATTATTGGCCCCAAAAACCGTCTAGCTATTTATTAACTCAATATTTCGAATGCAACGTTGTTAGATTTTAGCAAATTTGAGTCGGGATGAATGGAAGCGCGCTTTATTAGCCCTTCCACGCTTAATTAGGGTCGGGAATTGGTGAGGGCTTTCATCATCTCTCGACTTGCTAGATTTTTTTTTTTTTTTTTTGTAATTCCTTTTCTTGGGAGAGCGCGGAAACGAAAACTTGTTTCAGTTTCATGGGAGGCCAGTGTCTTATTGTTGTACTTTGGAATTCTAGCAATGTATGTTTATATTTAATAATTAAATATTTCTCACAATTATAGACATGGTATGATTTAATTAGGAGATAGATTACCTGTTCTTTTGTTACATAAAGTGCGTTTTTGGTTCGTAAATCTGAACTCAGTCGTCCAATTTGAATTAAGCTTGCCATCCGAACCGGCATTCAAAACGAAAATTCTGGTCTTTAGTTTAAACTAAAAAATTCAACTACTCAATTATTTTACTGTAACAAATAATAATGAGATTTATGAGAATGAGACTTACTGAAAGAAATTCAAGGGACAACACATTTTGTCACATATTTAAAGCTTAGACTTGAATATTAATGCAAAAATTGAAAACGAAAAGCAAAGAAGCATACAATCATGCCTATTATTTCTCACTTCTTTACCAAGAAACTTGAGACTTTATTAAGAAACTTGAGACTTTATTGATGCAGACCTTCCAAGTATTCAACATCTTCGAGTGCATGAGCTGGAAAAGCACAGAACCTCGAAAGCTTATTTTGGGTTCTCATCTAACAGAACAAAAATTATGTTGGCAAGAACAAAAAATAAAATAAAATGGGAAAATGTCATCCAGAAACTACTCAAAAGGATCTTCCTTCAGTTATGGTATATTAACTTCCGCGTTACAAACTATTAGGCAGTTAACGATTCTCATCCCATTCTCCACAAAAGCCGACCTGTATTAGCACGTATTCACATTGCACAGGCTTGATGTCTACTAGCGCCAGAGGCATCATAGCAAAATCTTCACCTCTTTAGTGCTACGGTAGTCTCACAGCTACACAGCATTAAGCTATTAGCAGCTTGCCTTCATATCTAAGAAAATCTCAGAATCCTTCTTCAACTTGAAACCTCAATGACATCAGCTTCATTGTCACTGTAATCTCCCCAACATTTGGCTGGTTTTTCCTCGACTACTATGTTGCTGGTTTCTTTCACAACTTCAGTATCACCAGCCACGGGAACTTTGTCAGCTTGGCTTGTTTCAACATTAGGATCAGCGTTTACTTTATCAACAGATTGATCTTCTTGAGGCTTTTCTTCGGTTGTCTGCGTTTCACAATGGACTTCTGCTAAGGACTTCTCGGTATTCTCCTCCAAAACAGCTTCAGTAGAGTTGCTTTCACAATGGACTTCTGCTAAGGACTTCTCGGTATTCTCCTCCACAACAGCTTCAGTAGAGTTGCTTTCGATACCCATGCCAACATTCACAAATGATGCCGACTCTACTGAACTGATTGGGGATGTTGGAAAACCATTTTGCGCAACTGGAATGCCATTCAGTGATGATGGATATCCATTTGGTGACACGGAAATTCCGTTTGGAGACACAGGATAACCATTTGGAGATATAGGATAATCATTTGGAGATATAGGATAACCATTTGGAGATACTGGATAGCCATTGGGAACCCAAGGTTGGCCTGGTACAAACTCAGCAGCATGTGGGTTCATTATTCGTGGAGGACTGAAATGGTTTGCGTCTCCAATGTGTTCACCATTATTGTAACTTGGTTTATTGCGCGAAACCCGATTTCCAGTTCTGTTGTAGCCACCAGACAACCTGGGACCATATGGAACCCTGGCTGTTGCTGACTGATGAGGTGATCTACGCATGGGATTAACCGTAAGCATAGGAGGAATGTTTACAGGTGGGGGCAAAATTCCTACGTGCTCTTTGAATCCTGGAACTGGGATAGAACCAAAAATAGGAATTGTTGACGGATTGAACGGAGGTGCAGCCGCGGAAAGTTTCTTTGTTGACTCCTTTCCAGTTTCAGGTTCGTCATGCTTTTCCCCCTCACCTGCCACTGGCTTGCCACCTGTGTCACCATTGGGCAAGTCACAGAGCTTTTCATTTTCCTCTCCAATTTTGATTTTTGCATCCAAGGGCTCTTTTTCCTGTGAAAGACTCATATTTTCAGTTAAAACAGATTGGGTAGTCCCTAAACCAGGGCGACTTCCCGGTACTGCTGCTTCTGACTGCTCATTTTTTGTGAGACAAGAGGTCGAATTTTTAGAAGTAACAGGCTTTTCAACTCCAGGCACTGCAATACTTACAGATTTTGCTTCTGTTTTTTCAACTTTCGTTTCCACTTGCATCTCTCCAACAATTACAATCTTCCCTACCTCCAAGGACTCTTCTACAACAGAATCCTCAACTTTAGCATGTTTTTCATCATCGTTGGAGTTTTTAGTTTTCTCCTCAGAAACCAAAATCTGTTTCACTTCTACAGGTCTTTGAACTTTGTCTACCTCTATGTCCTTTACGGTTGTCGCTTCACCTGATGTGACATCTGCGGCACCAGTCTCCTGGCTCACCTGAGAGTTTTGTTCAGTGGGAGGACCAACTTTTGGCAACTGTTCTCCCACTACCTTCACAATTGTCCCAGGTGGAGCGAGGGCAACTTCTTTGTAGGAAAAAAGTTTTCCAGCTGCCTGAACACCAACTGGACTCGCCGTAGGAGTAGACTTGACAACTGGATCTACTGTAGCTGGGCTGGCTTGGCCTGACTTTGGGTTTGATTGCCTCTCTGCTCCACCGTTAGCTGACAAGGCAGCGTTAACTTGCTTCGGACTGAAGCTTGCACTCTTGTTAAACTTCTTGGCAGCAGGAAGGGCATTACTGGCAGAAGCATTAGACTCATTTGGGGATGTTTTTGCCGATGTAATATTAGCAGGTTTTCCTCGGTATCTTTGCGTCTGCGATGCATTCATAAAGTTAGTATTCAGTTTTGCGAGACTTGGCCTCCTCGAACCAGAAGTCTTGCGCCCAGTAAGTGAACGACTCTTGGGAACAGCTTCTTGCCATCCTTCATCTGAGGTGTCATCCAGAGCCAAATCATCATTTGCACTCAATATCACTGATTGATCTGGTAGGCTTGAATCATGTTTCTCGTTTCTGGGTTCTGCAAATTTAACTTCAGATGTATTTTCTTTATCACTTGAACTCTCTGCAGTCGGAAAACTAGCAACCAAGAGTTCATCCTTCTGAAACTCTTCTGAGACTACTTCCCAGTTTTGCCCGGGTTTTCCTTTGACCTGTATGGTAAGGAGAAAATTTTCTTCCCTTTCAGATTATTTCAACAATTTACGGCCTTAAAATAGAAGATTAAAGCAGGAATAGATTATGACCTTTGAACGAGCTCTTTTTTGTGCTTCTCTTGCCTTCATATCAGCATCTGGGGTTATATAATCCAAAAGGTCCGACACACTGACACAAGAAAAGAAAAAATTTAGAACTTATTGTTAAAAATCTACTTTTTGGGCAACCAAAAGAAGCCACAAATAATAATAAGTTAACAGATACTATACGCCCGTTAAACACAATCATTGATCAGATTCATTATCATGAGCAAGCGTCAACCTTGTAATTAAATACACTTGTCCATCAGTAAAGATATTCAAATAATTATACCAGAGAAAAGCTATTGCTGGCTTTTAGACAACCAAGCCCCTTGGTTAAACAATTAATCATTTCTGTATAATCTGGTTGCTGGAGATTAAGCTTAATCTGGTTACAATTATTACCTTAAATGACCTTTGCTGGAGATAGAGGCATCTGGCTTTGGAGTACCGTTGCGTGCAGCTTCTTGCTGCTCCAAAGCCTTGGACTCGAAATACTCAAGCCACGCCGCAGCATCCTAGAAAAGTTCATTTTTCATTATAATTGAAAAACAAGGGTAAGAAAGGGAAAAAAAAAAAAAAATTTGTTGAACATTAAGGCTGCTACCTTTCCCCAAAAAAAAAAAAAAAAAAAACCCACTAAGGCTGATACTACCTGTGTGCGTAGATCCTCTGATCCGAGCTTCGCCTGCAAAATTTGAAGGGTAGTTTGTTCATGCTGAACACTTAGAGAGTAGGCTTCCATCAAAGAGAGGGCAATGGCTATAGCATGATAACTGGCAGCAGTCTGAGGAGACCCAAAAAAAAATAAAAAATAAAAAGTTAAGGATATAAAATTACTCATATATGAAGGTGGTATTACAAAACAAAATTTAGTCCATAGTTTGGAGAACGTCATCTGAAAGTGAGATCAAAGACAATACAGGAGATTAGTTAAATCTCATTAAGAGGCAGAGAACACTTGAATTCTAATTTTAATGACCATTTGGCGGCTCGTGTCTAGTTCAATATCTCGGAAGTGGTTCAGTGCAATTTTTCAGTTCATGCACTAGGTAAAAGATTTAAGATGACAACAAACTATGTTTTATCTTGCAAATCAGGATAAAGATCATTAATATAATGCCATTGACCTAGTTCTTAGAAACCTGTAGCAATAATTGAGAGAGAGTAAGAGAGTGAGACCTGTATATGGTCAGCTCCAAGTAGCCTTTGATTACATTTCAGGGCCTCATGGAGATACCTTAGAGCAACATGGACATTCCCCAAACCTTCTTCCATCATAGCTACATTAATGTAGGTGGCAGCGGTGTTGGGATGAGACGGCCCACATGTTAGGTGCAAAAGATACAATGCACGATTGACATACCTAGAATGTGGATTAAAAAAAAGTGAGTTATAGAATATTAATGACCAAGTGAACATTGGAAAAGTAAAGCAAATATATAAGTTGTCGTCTCCAATTGTTATGCAATTAGGGTATATCAATTTTTGGCAGTACGATTTGCTAACCTAGGTAAAACAAGAACATGTAAAACCTCTGCAATTTAACTTGCTGTCATCTTCCCTACAATTTATCGAGAGCTTCTCACATTTGTATCACTCGAACAATAGATGCTTTATACATTCTAATCATTTAATCTCGTGCCCCCGTCTAGGCCCACAACACAGGTGAGAGAAACCTAAAGTTCTAAGAAAGGGATACTCTGATACAAAGTCTGAACTAGAAATACAACTAGAATACCAGAAACATCAACTGAAGGCTCGAGTTTCTCTCCAATATAGCACATGAATTGTTGGTTTCAAAGAATCTTATTTGCCCCAACCAGCACTAAAATCTGCCCTTTGAATCCAATAACACCAAGTGACAGTAATCGCCTAAGTCAATTTTTTGAAGACAAACTTTGAACAATGAATTGCAGCAGCAGAAAAAGAAAGCAAAGATGCACAAAGGCAATCAAGAACTTTAAGGATGGCCATCACAATTGAATCATCTATGTTGAAATCCCAAATCTAGGGCATAGAAATCAGTTTCCTGATTTAGGATAAATTGTTTCCTGATTAGGATAAGTTGTTTCCTGATTTTTTTTTTTAAATTCAGCAGATCACTTTCCTGATCTCTAGGCCATAACTTTAGGAAAGTTGATTTTCATAATTGTATTATAAATAGGAGCCCTATGTACAGAATATTAATTTCAAGAATAAGAAAACAGAAAGCAACGTTCCTGCTTTCATGGTATCAGAGCCTTGGATTTTCTAACCTTGGCAATCAATGGCGAGTTCAACGTCCTCGGAGACCGCTGGCGAGACGACGGAGGTCACCAATACCATGACATTGAATGGGTCCGAGAACTCCACCTTCCAGTTCACGGTTGAGAAACTCAACGGGAAAAAATTTCTCGAATGGGCTCAATCGATAAAAACTGGTGATCGATGGAAAAGGCAAATTGGGATATCGCACTGGTGAAATGAAGAAGCCATCCTCAATAGATGCCTCTCTTCAGAAGTGGAAATCAGAAAATTTGATGGTAACTGCGTGGCTGGTCAACTCAATGAAGCCTTCAATCGGTAAAACCTATATGTTCCTCCCAACAGCAAAAGAGGTCTGGGATGCCGTTCGAGAGACATACTCTGATGTGGAAAATTCTTCCCAAATATTAGAGATTAAGACTTGATTATGGCATATAAGACAAGAAAAAAGGGAAGTCACCGAGTACTACACAGAGATGAAGGCTCTTTGGCAGGAACTCGATTTGAGTTATGAAGAAGAATGGGAATGCTATGGAGACAGCGTGAGATTCAAAAAGAGGCTGGAGAATGAGAGAGTTTTTGAATTTCTGGCTGGACTCAACCGAGAATTAGATGAGGTGAGAGGAAGGATTCTTGGTCGGAGACCATTGCCCTCAATCCGTGAAGTTTTTTCAAAGGTAAGACGAGAAGAAAACCGGCACAAAGTGATGCTGAAACTCCCTGCCTCCTCTGTGCCGACTAGCTCTGGATCAGAAACCTCCGCGCTGATGACAATAAGGGGACCGAATGGACCAGGCCAGAGTCAGCAAAGGAAAAAACCTTGGTGTGAGCACTGCCACAAGACTGGTCACACAAAGGATACTTGTTGGGAATTGCACGGGAAACCGCCATACTGGAAGCCATGGCAGATGAACAAAAACCGAGGATGTCAAGCTTCAGTTGATGATCAGAAGGAGAGAAAAATTGATGTCAACAACAGCGAGTCTCAAGCAAAAACTCCATTCAGCCAGGAGCAGATGGAGCAGCTTTATAAAATGTTCTCAAACTTCCAATCTACTGGTTAGTCCTCCAATAATGTGTCTTCTGGTTCATTAGCCCACAGAGGTAATTTTTTAAAAGCCTTGAATACTGTTTCTCAAAACAGAATTCCCTGGATTATCGATTCTGGTGCATCTGATCATATGACCAGTAATTATCACATTTTTTCCACATACTCACCTTGTGCCGGCAACGTCAAAGTAAAAATTGCAGATGGTTCCCTCTCGACGGTTGCAGGAAAAGGGACAGGAAAAATCTCCGATTCTGTAACCCTAGAATCTGTCCTTCATGTCCCAAACTCATCTTGCAATTTGTTATCAATTAGTCAATTGACAAAAAATTCCAACTGTTGTGCTAAATTTTTCCCTTCTCACTGTGTTTTTCAGGACCTGTCATCAGGGAGGACGATTGGCAGTGTTAAGAATGTGAGGAACTCTACTACCTTGATGAGGCCAAGGCGAAGGGACAGCTTCAAATTGCAATTTGCAATTTTGCATCTACTTTTAGGGATAGTGAAATAATGTTATGGCATTTTAGAATGGGTCATCCTAGTTTTCAGTACATGAAACACTTGTTTCCTTCTATTTTTTCCAATAAAAATATTTCTGTTTTTCAGTGTGAAATTTGTCAGTTTGCTAAACATCAACGTACTTCATTTAAAAAATCAAAGTACCAACCTTCCAAACCATTCACTATGATTCACAGTGACCTATGGGGTCCTTCTCGTATTTCTACTCGTACTCACACAAAATGGTTTGTGACGTTTATTGATGATCATACTAGGGTCTGTTGGGTTTACCTCCTAAAAGACAAAACAAACGTCTGTGAAGTGTTCAAAAATTTCTCTTCCATGGTCCAAACGCAATTTCAAACTAGAATTCAAATGTTGCGTACAGATAATGGAACGGAATACTTTAACTCTATCTTAGGAGATTTCCTAATGTCAAATGGAATTATTCACCAAAGTTCATGTGTCGACACTCCACAACAGAATAGAGTTGCTGAACGAAAAAACAAACACTTGTTGGAGGTGGCCCAAGCCTTAATGTTTACTGCCCATATGCCTAAAATGTTCTGGGGAGATGCTATCTTAACATCTGCCCATCTCATCAATAGGATGCCTAGTCGGGTCCTTTCGTTTGAAACTCCACTTAATACTCTAAAGGAAGTTTTTTCCACCTCACGTCTACCCTCAAATTTACCTCTCAAAGTCTTCGGCTGTACTGCCTTTGTTCATGTTCACTCTCAAAATCGAAGTAAGTTGGATCCTAGAGCTTCTAAGTGTGTGTTCATTGGCTATTTTCCGACACAAAAGGGCTACAAATGCTTTGATCCCTCTACAAAAAAGGTATTTGTTAGTCTTGATGTTACATTCTTTGAAAACACTCCTTTCTTCCAAAAAACTCCTCTTCAGGGGGAGATTTCTAATGAAGATCGTTTTGTGGACTTTGAACTTCTTCCTTCTGAGTCTATCCCAAACACAGAAAACACCACCCTTCTTCCTGCCCTTCTTCCTGCTCATTCCAATATGCCATATACAGAAGGACACTTGAACTCAGGGGGAGATGTGGAAAAGCAAAAGAACAGGGAGTTGCTAGTCTACTCGAGAAGGCCAAAGTCGCAAAAACAAGACAACCTCACTTCCGAAGCACCAAGAGAGTCTAACCCAGTGATAGATCTAGGAATGAATGAGCCAACCACAGAAAAAGGTATTTCCAATACTCCTAAAATTCCTGATATTGATCTTCCCATAGCTCACAGGAAAAAACCTCGTTCATGTACACTTCACCCCATCTCCAAGTTTGTGTCACAAAAGAACTTATCCACCAACTTTCGAGCTTTTGTCTCTAACCTCAACAGTACAGAAATTCCAAAGAATATACAGGAAGCACTAGCCGTTCCTGAGTGGAGAAACGCAGTCATGGAGGAAATGAAAGCTTTGAATAAAAATGAGACTTGGGAGGTAATGGAGCTACCGAGAGGGAAGAAACCAGTGGGATGCAAATGGGTGTTTACCCTTAAATACAGAGCTGATGGAATGATAGAACGATACAAAGCTCATCTCGTTGCCAAGGGCTTTACACAAACTTATGGCATCGACTACATCGAGACATTCGCTCCTGTGGCAAAACTAAATACAGTTAGGGTCCTCCTACCCTTGGCATCTAATTTGGATTGGCCCCTGCAGCAACTCGACATAAAAAATGCTTTCTTAAACGGCGAATTAGAAGAGGAAGTCTACATGGAAATGCCTCCAGGATTCAGTAAAGGACAGGAAGACAAGCGAGTGTGTAAACTCAAGAGGTCACTTTATGGTCTCAAGCAGTCCCCAAGAGCATGGTTCGACAGGTTTGCCAAGGTGATAAGGAACCAAGGATATCTACAGGGGCAATCAGATCATCCTATGTTCTACAAACAAGCCAAAGATGAGAAGAAGACAATCCTGATAGTCTATGTTGATGATATAATCCTTACCGGTGATAATGAAGCAGAAATGGAAAGGTTGATGAGTATTCTCGCCATAGAATTTGAAGTTAAAGATTTGGGGCAAATGAGGTATTTCTTGGGAATGGAAGTTGCTAGATCAAAGAAAGGAATCAGTGTCTCCCAAAGGAAATATGTCCTTGATCTTCTCACGGAGACCGGTATGCTTGGATGCAAACCAAGTGACACTCTGATTGAAGCTGGAAAGAAGACTGAGGATGCTGGAAAATTAGTTGACATAGACAGATATCAGAGACTAGTAGGCAAGCTAATATACTTGTCTTATACCAGACCGGACATTGCATTTGCAGTGAGTGTGGTAAGCCAACACATGCACTCACCAAAGGAGGCTCACCTAGAGGCAGTCTACAAGATACTCAGATATCTCAAAGGTTCACCTGGCATGGGACTATTCTTCAAAAAGGGGGACTGCAAAGGAGTAGAAGTCTATACAGATGCAGATTGGGCAGGTTCAATTGAAGACAGGAAATCCACTTCGGGATATTGTACTTTTGTATGGGGGAATCTAGTAACCTGAAGAAGCAAAAAGCAAAATGTGGTGGCTCAAAGCAGTGCCGAAGCTGAGTTTAGAATAGTTGCTCAAGGAATATGTGAAGCACTATGGCTGAGGAAACTCCTAGAAGAACTCCTAGTCACTGTGATAACAAAGCAGCAATTAACATCTCTCTTAATCCAGTCCAACATGACAGAACTAAGCATGTGGAAGTGGATAGACATTTCATCAAAGAGAAGGTGGAAAAGGGGATCATTTGCATGACCTATGTTCCTACTCAGGATCAGACGGCAGACATCTTCACCAAAGGGCTTGCAAGACAAAAATTCGATGATTTCTTAATCAAGTTGGACATGATTAACATATATGATCCAACTTGAGGGGGAGTGTTGAAATCCTGAATCTAGGGCATAGAAATCAGTTTCCTAATTTAGGATAAATTGTTTCCTGATTAGGATAAGTTGTTTCCTGATTTGTTTTTTAAATTCATCTGATCACTTTCTTGATCTCTAGGCCATAACTTTAGGAAAGTTGATTTTCATAATTGTATTATAAATAGGAGCCCTATGTACAGAATATTAATTTCAATAATATGAAAACAGAAAGTAACGCTCCTGCTTTCAATCTATACTTATTATATTAGGATATACATGAAAGCATACTTCAGGGCTAATTCTGTATGTTGAAGCCGATAGTAGAAAACAGCCAGATCCCCGTAACTTTTCATAGTATCAGGATGATCAAGTCCAAGCTCTCTCTCATTAATATCCAGTGCTTTTTGCTGATAAATGGTAGCCTGATTCAAATAAACAGAGTTGTTGTATTAAAAAAATTATATGGGAAACGATCAGAAATCTCATGGAAACATGTGGCTAAAATATGACATCTTGACACTTCAAATTAAGTAATATAAGATCGACAAATTTATATTACATGACATGGATACGATAGAACTGTATGCATCATGGATGACTAGTTTGTGATGAATGCTTTATAAGGATATATACCTGATTGAAGTCCCCTGTATGATAGAGCACCACAGCAAGAAGACTGTATGCTCCGGCTGTCATTCGATGATAAGGTCCACATACTGACACAAGCTTTGCAAGTGCCTTCATGATTGGAGATAAAATAGTGGTTCAATCAGCTACTGAAGCTAGAAATAATTATGATATTAAAACAAAATGAGCAAGTCACCACATACCTTGGTACCATAATTAACGGCATCCTCCAGTTTACCTTTGTCTAAGGAAGTTTTCGATGATTCCAACAGTGTACGTCCATCAGCAGATGAACATGCAACATGCTGTGCAACACACCACGGATTAACTACTGCAAGTGAAACACTGGAAGGAAACTGAAATACCATTCACTAGTTAACTATGCATGCATTTACCTTGTATACAGGGACCATACTTATGATATCCGCTTTCCGAAAAGGAGATGCAGTGTCCATCTCATAGTCCTTAGGGACAAGCTCAAGTCCAACCTGATGAAAGATTTTCAAGTAAAAAAATGATTTTATTAATCCTAGAGCATGACCTCATAAAGAAACAAAAGGATATGGTCATTGTCTACCTTGTGACACAATCCCCGGAGAATAGCATACTTTCTTAAGTCCTGGCTGCTTTCATACTTCCATTGCCACCCAAATCTCTTTAAGAGGAAAGTTTCAACCCACTTCCATTTTAGATTTTCGTCATCTGTGCAGTGTGCACTTTCATTTTCAACAGATGGTGTCCCCAGTAATATATTTAAACAGGATGCTATTGATGCAGCCAAGTCAGCAACATTTTGGACTGCTGCTATCACAGCTTGCAGTATGTGTTTGTACGCTCTCACAATCATTTCATGTACGCAAAGCGATTGCACATGAGGGAGCTTATCAGCAAGTTCAACCTGATATAGCAGGAGAAAACATAGGAAAACATTTTTAGAATATGGTATTCTAGCAAGAGAGTTGCACTAATTCTCTTGTACATGTCAGGCTATTAAATTTTGCATAAGACAAGTTAAAATACATCAGATAGAAAACAAAGAAGCTCAATTGAGAATTACCACACGTCCCAAGGAACACATTTGCAAGCCCCTAGTATGCATAAAATCTGTTAATGTCCTTCCATCAACTGGTGAAAGTTCTAGAGAGCCAAAATCTGCCACCTAATAATAAAGGCACAACAATTTTAATAAAATCAATACCAGCACTATATCTGAGGAAGAAATGAAATGAAAATGAAGGTGATCATTTGGGAACTGACCAGTTTTGGAAGCGCAGTATCAGCATAATATTTGTGTGCCATTTCAATCAACTCTTCAGGAGACTGCCATTATGAACAAGCATGTTATAACTTATATGAGATCAGGTATAAAAGAATAGAATAAAAAATCATACACAAAGTTTGTTGAATGATTGAAGTAAATAACTTTTGTATGCCAAAATTGTTGAAAATAATTATTCAAAGTTAGGATTTAGTTGTTATTTTTATTTAGGGGTATTAGTTAGAATAAAAGAGAAGGTCCTGCGTGATCTTTTCTTTAGATTCGGCTTCCTGACCTTTAGGAAGAGAATCTGTTGGTTTCCTAGATTTTCTCTTATTCCACTGTGTATATATTGAGTACTATTACTCTGATCAAAGTAAGAAAAATAAGATTGCGTTTTTCTTCATGGTATCAGAGCCTTCTCTGAACCCTAATTCTCTCTGCAGCCGCCGTTCACCTTCTCTTCTCTGCCACCTATTTTTTCCGTTGAGACCCATATTTTTTTTCCCACCATTCTTTCATCTCTGATTGTATGACAAAGTACGAGATGGCCTCTTCTCATACATCCAATACCTCGTCTGATACAACCTCACGGTCTAGAGGAAATATGGAGATCACAAATCATGGTGGAACTAAGTCTTCGCCTGTCCTAATCACAGGTCATAAACTGAATGGCCACAATTATCTCCAGTGGTCACAATCTGTTATGATGTTTATTTGCGGCAAGGGCAAGGACGATTATCTCACAAGTGAGGCGGTTATGCCGGAGACGTCTGATCCTGGTTTCAGAAAATAATATGATCATGTCATGGCTTATCAATTCCATGAACAATGATATTGGCGAGAACTTCCTTATGTTTGGTACTACGAAGGAAATATGGGATGCAGCACGGGAAACCTACTCCAGCTCCGAGAACACATCAGAGCTATTCCATATTGAAACCATTCTCCAAGACTTCCGCCAAGGAGACCATACTGTCACCCAGTACTTTAATACACTCACCAGGCACTGGCAACACCTTGACCTGTTCGAAATTTATCCATGGAAGTGCTCAGATGATTCTGCTCTATATAAGAAAATTGTTGAACAGAAGAGAATATTCCTCCTCAGACTCAATAAAGATCTTGATCAGGTTAGGAGCCGTATTCTTGGAATGAAACCTCTACCTAGCCTTCATGAAGCCTTTCTGAAGTTAGACGTGAAGAAAGCAGGAAGAAGGTTATGATGGGATCATTAGAACCCACACTGGACGCTTCTGCCCTTGCTGCCCGCAGGAACTACACTACAGGAGGTGGTGAAAATCGTCCGAAAGGGGGAAGACCATGGTGCGAACATTGTCACAAGACAGGCCACTATAAAGAGACCTGTTGGAAAATCTATGGAAAACCTGCTGACTGGAAACCACAGCCCATAAATGATTGAGACAACCGTGCTCATGTGGCATCCAACACAGACGATCAGTCCCAGCCCGAGTCTAATCTCTTCAGCAAGAAACAAATGGAGATTCTCCAGAAACTGTTCAATCAAGCCACGATCAACTCCAATGGAGGGACGAGTCTAGTGGCACACAGAGAGTCCCATTCAGCACTCACAGCCAATAAAGGAGCAAGCAAACCCTGGATTGTGGATACAGGTGCCTCAGATCACATGACAGGAGATGCCTCCCTGTTTCAGGATTATAAAACCAGCAATGACAACTCTTCTGTCCGGATTGCTGATGGCTCTCGTTCAAAAATTGCAGGGATAGGTTCCATCAAACTCACAAAGGAGTTACATCTTAATTCTGTTCTTTATGTGCCCAACTTGGATTGCAATTTACTTTCAATCAGTAAATTGACTCGTGACTTGAACTGTGTAACTAAATTTTATCCAAATGTGTGTTTTTTCCAGGACTTGGATTCGGGGAAGATGATTGGCAGTGCTGAATTGTGCTCCGGACTCTATTCACTCAAAAGTGCTCAAGTCTCCTCAATACAAGATTCAAGAGCAAACTGTGTCAAGTCCAAGGGTCTGTCAACTTGTTCTTTTTCTAGTTCTAGTGTCAATAACGATAGTGAAATTGTCCTGTTGCACTATCAATTGGGTCATCCTAGTTTCATGTATCTTGCAAAACTTTTTCCCAATTTATTCATTAATAAAAGTCCTTCATCCTTTCATTGTGAAATATGTCAATTTGCAAAGCATACTCGAACTGTTTATCCCCGTCTCCAATATAAGCCCTCTAATCCATTTGCCTTAGTCTACAGTGATGTGTGGGGCCCCTCAAGAATCAAAAATATTTTAGGGGCTCGCTGGTTTATGTCATTTGTTGATGACCATACTCGTCTCACTTGGGTGTTTCTCATGAAAAACAAATCAGAAGTGGGCCAAATTTTTCAAAGTTTTAACAACATGATTCAAACTCAATTTGCCACCAAAGTCCGAGTTCTCAAAACAGACAACGCCAAAGAGTACTTCAAAGACTCTCAACTCCTATCTACTAAATCAAGGCATCATCCACATCAGTTCTTGCGTTGACACTCCACAACAAAATGGGGTTGCTGAGCGCAAGAACAGACATCTCCTAGAGGTTGCTCGTTGTCTCTTGTTCTCTGCCAATGTCCCAAAATGTTTCTGGGGTGAAGCAATTCTCACTGCAGCATACCTAATCAACTGAATGCCTTCTTGAGTCCTGGGGTTTCATTGTCCAAGTAAAGTCTTTCTCAATTCCTTTCCTCACACTCGGGCTATTTCAACAGAATTACCCCCAAAAATATTTGGATGTACATCTTTTGTCCATGTTCACCCACAAAATCGAAGCAAACTCGATCCTAGATCCCTTAAATGCATCTTTATAGGATACTCTCCAAACCAAAAGGGATACAAATGCTACTCACCAAACAACAAAAAGGTGTACATATCTAGAGATGTGACATTCTTTGAAAAAATACCTTACTATTCCAATGTTGATGCTCAGGGGGAGAGAATGAGTGAACATCAGCCTTGGGAATCATTATGGGAATCGTTGCTTGAAAACTCTCGTCAAACACAACCTCAAATCTCCACTTTTCCACAGCTTGCTATTGAAAATCTCCAAGTTTATAGAAGGCGACAATCTAGAAGGGAAATAGAGCACGGAGCACAATCACATGTTCAAGAGTCCGAAACAAATCCAAGTTCTCCGGAAGACACCACAAATACGGACAGCCTTGTCTCAGGTGAGTTCATGGTACCGAGTATTGAGGATTCAAATAAGCCAATTGCAGAAAGGAAAAGGATCCGAAGATGTACGCGTCATCCAATTGGTAATTATGTCTCATACAATGGTTTGTCCTCATCATACCAAGCCTTTGTGTCTTCTCTGGATAGTATACAGGTTCCCAATAATATACAGGAGGCTCTTAATCATCCTGGGTGGAAGAAAGCTGTTCAAGAAGAGATTAATGCACTTGAGAAGAATGAAACGTGGACCATAACCGAACTTCCTGCAGGAAAACGACCAGTTGGGTGCAAATGGATATTTACGGTCAAGTACAAGACAGATGGGAGTGTTGAGAAACTCAAAGCTCGTCTCGTAGCAAAAGGCTTCACGCAATCATATGGGATTGACTATCAAGAAACCTTTGCTCCAGTGGCAAAACTCAATACCATCAGAATTTTGCTCTCAGTGGCAGTGAATCTCGATTGGTGTCCACACCAATTAGATATAAAGAATGCATTTCTCAATGGAGACCTTGAAGAAGAGGTGTTTATGGAAGTCCCGCCAGGCCTTGACCTAAATCTTGCTGGAGGTAAAGTATGTAAACTCAAGAAATCTTTGTACGGACTCAAGCAATCACCCCGTGCATGGTTTGATAAGTTTGCAAAGGCAGTCTTGAAGCTCGGGTACACTCAATGTCAGGCAGATCACACTCTCTTCATTCGAACATCACCAACAGGGAAGATTTCTCTCTTAATAGTATATGTTGATGACATCATTCTCTCAGGGAATGACGAGGAAGAGTTGCAGAGATTGAAGGTGCGCCTAGCACAGGAATTTGAAGTTAAGGATCTAGGGAATCTCAAATATTTCCTCGGAATGGAAGTGGCAAGATCTCGAAAGGGAATTGTCATTTCTCAACGGAAATACATCCTGGACTTACTAAAGGAGACCGGTATGCTAGGGTGCAAACCGGTTGACACACCTATGGACCCCTACAAGAAAATTGGCTCAGTAAAAGATAGTGCACCAGTCGATAAGGGGAGATATCAGAGGCTTGTTGGTCAGTTAATATATCTCTCACATACCCGTCCGGATATAGGCTTTGCAGTTAGTGTTGTGAGTCAATTCATGCACAATCCTACGGAAGAGCATATGGATGCATTGTTTAGGATACTGAAGTATTTAAAGATGACACCCAGGAAAGGACAATTTTTCAAGAAGTCGGGGAATAGAAACATAGAAATTTACTCTGATGCGGACTGGGCTGGAGACACTACAGATGGGAGATCAACATCCGCCTATTGTTCCTATGTCTGGGGAAACCTAGTGACTTGGAGAAGTACGAAACAATCAGTGGTAGCTAGAAGTAGTGCCGAGGCAAAATTCAGGGCTTTAGCGCAAGGAATTTGTGAAGGAATCTAGATAAAAAGGGTACTTAGCGAACTCGGTTTGAACAACTCTTCCTCCATTCAAATGATGTGTGACAATCAAGCTGCAATCAGTATTGCTAAGAACCCTGTGCATCATGATAGAACCAAACATATCGAGATTGATAAGCACTTCATCTCCGAGAAGATTACCAGTAACACAGTGCAAATGAATTACGTTCCTACTCAACAGCAGATCGCAGACATCCTTACCAAAGCATTACCAAGACCCAACTTTGAAGATCTAAGTAGCAAGCTGGGTTTGTATGACCTACACACACCAGCTTGAGGGGAAGTGTTGAAAATAATTATTCAAAGTTAGGATTTAGTTGTTATTTTTATTTAGGGGTATTAGTTAGAATAAAAGAGAAGGTCCTGATTGATCTTTTCTTTAGATTCGGCTTCCTGACCTTTAGGAAGAGAATATGTTGGTTTCCTAGATTTTCTCTTATTCCATTGTGTATATATTGAGTACTATTACTCTGAACAAAGTAAGAAAAATAAGATTACATTTTTCTTCAAAAATAGAAAGAAGAAAATAATTCAGATAAAGCTACCAGCAAACCTTAAGGTGAAGGCGTGTATCTGATTCTTTAAGGCGCAAGTATGCTGCTTCTGGAAGCAGCTTTCTCCACATCGTTTCTTTTTCCGCTTCTTGTTTCTCCATCTCCTTCTGGTTACTAGCATCTGAAGTCTTATTATCATCAAGGTTGTTACCTGCAAGAACTTCTTTCCCCTGTTCAGTTTTGCCACTCTTGACATCTATTTTCTTTTTTATCTCCTTTAGCAGTCCACCTTGCTTTCCAAGACCCTTAACAGCTGGCTCAAGTTTAGCTTCTTCAGTTTTCTTACCATCCGTATTCCCTGAAGCCTGATTTTGCAAATGTTGCACCCAACATGCTCCCAACTCCCATCTGATAGACTTCATGTGTTTAGCGGGTTCTTCCTGCAACCTTGACAAACTTTCTTCTAGAACTTTCCTTACAGAAGACCTAGCAGAATGTAAATTCTCATAATCTGAATTCTGTAGTTTCTGAACTGTACTTGACAATTGAGGCGATGATGACTTGTGTAATAGCATTCTCAGGCTGCAACACATGACAGCAATGATAAACAATAATTGTTAATAAGGATGTACCCATAAATAAATTAAGAGAAGTCACAAATCATGAGAGACCCTTCCCGCCCACTTAAATAAAATAGAACAAAACGTCAAATTCACCTGTTAACGTTCAAGGTATTGGCACCTCCTTCAGGTTGGTCCTCGATGTCAATGTCTTGACGAAGAGCATTCGCCTCCCAAGTTACATCAGAAGACACTTTCACAACAGCTGTGAATCCACAATGTCTAAGAACTACCACACCTAAAGTAGCAGTATCCTACAAAATAGAAGTTGCTTAAGATAATTAAAAACATGCTTCATAAGACCACAAAAAGAATTTAAAGCAATCAAAGTACATACATGAACTGTTGCACTCTCATCAGCTGTTATGCCTTTGAGTAAATTTCGCTGAGCAAGCTCTTCCTGCGATATTCCGAGAACCTGACTCCCATCATTTTTACAATCCAACTTGGTACTTGCATCAGGCACGTCTCTTGTCACCTTAATAATCAAATCTCCAACTTTTTCCTCATGTACAAGTGATACTGTGGGATCATTCAAGGACTCATGATTCATGTCAATGAGACTCCTAATTGATGCAACAGCTTTAAGAACTGACACGTCGACAAATAGACTGTGAAGCAGAAAGGCTTTCCTATCTCTAATTTGCCGCTCTTCTGCTGTTTTACAAGGCATTGCAGCCAGAACTGCGAGCTCTTTCGCCCAAGGCCTGAAGTCATGTTTTCCATCTCTTCCTTGTCCACCCCCATTTCCCCCCCAGCTCTCATCTTCCACGGGAAGGGGTGGGACAACAAATGGGTTGTCAGCAACAACTGGTGGGATGACCCATGTGTTCGCTCGAAAACCATAAGGAAGATTGCCGAACTGAAATAAAATAAGTACAAATATACAAGAGTAAATAATCTCCTCCGACTAATATGTAGGTGTAAAAAGATTGGTCGAAATACATACCTTATTGTGCTCAGTGAAAGCTTTCATAAGAGCATTGTATGCCTGCAAGCAAACTCATAGATTAGTAACCAGAGCTTGAGTAAACTAAGACATGAGACATTCTAAACATACTTTCCCTGTTTAAAGAAAAAGAGTAGAACCGAAATACATTGAACTTTGAATGTATACATATATACAGACATATATACATACATATATATATATATATTACAGGAATGAAAAGGAGGGGGGACAAAGAGGAAAGATACTCACTGCTTCAAATGCCCTGCTTATTTGCTGAAGAAGACCAACCAAAGAGTGACTCAAAAGAAGACGTTTCCCGGCAGGGTAAAACCCTTTTCTGGAAGCAACGATTGTCGTTGGCTTCCCATTGCAAACTCGGACCTGCATATATTGTTATACTTTTTAGACCCAACAAAGCTCAAATGATAATATAAGTTCCAAAAAATTTCCAAAAATGAAACATATATACAGCCATCATAGCATGTCAAAGTAGCCAGAAAACCTTACGTCAATTTGGAAGTAGTCATCTTCGGTCTTATCCTCGAGGAAGGGACGAGTGGATCTTCGAATATCTACAAGAAAACCCAAACCACCTTCATCCAATAAACCTCCACACACACACAAAGAATAGAATAGTTCTTCCTAAAAACTTTCAATTTGCAACACATTTCATGCAAAGCCATGCACACTTCTTCAATAAACTTGGGTTTTTAGCATTTTTCTTTTTGTTCTCCCATAGTTTGACTAAATTACTATTTGAATTTAATAAAATGTTGCACAGCATCCTCAAACCGGTGAATAATGTTAAAATTTAAAAAGAAAAACTCTCATGCACGTAACATGACGTGTTCCGATCTTCACTAGTTCAACCGAGCTCGCGTCACGTTATAAAAGGCGTTTGCGTCTAAATTTTAACGGTTGTCATCGATGTGGAACATTTTGCCACACTTTATTAAATTTATAGAGCAATTCTCCAAAATTTAAAAGTTTAAGGAATACGGTAATTGATAATTTCAGGACATGTGTCTCCTAAATTTAATCAAAAAAATTCAACAAACAATATTCACGAAGACATTTCCACAAACATTTAATAGACAAAATAAACAAAAAAATAAAAATAACCCAGTTAAGACACTACGGGTTCTTTTCGTCAGTAATTCTGATTCATTCACGGAACTTATTGACTGAATAAATTTTTGAATTCACATTGTTTATGGATGAAAAATACCGTAGAAAAATTAGAATCATGGGTTCTAGGAACCAAACGGCGCTACGTACACAAATTCAAACCAAAGATCCAATTTCAAATCAATAACTCACAGTGAATTGGCGGCGTGAGATTCGAGAACGAGAAGAACTCGTAGAACTGCCCCAGCCTCGGTGGCGGGCACATCGACACCGCCGGGTCTCCGCCGCTCTTATCGGCTCCATCTGCGGCCTTATCCCCAAAGTTTGCTCCTCTAAAGGCGGCGGCGCCGGAAACCTGCGCCGGTTTCTTGTCGGCGGAGGATTTAGCCTTGGTCGGACCATTGTTGGCCTCGTCGACGCTGTTTGAAGTTGGAGTAGTTGCGGAACCGGCGTCCGTATCGGCCGAACCGGGTTCTTTAGAGCTCGACTGGCCGGCCGGTTTGGGCGAAGACGAGGCGGACGCGCCGAAGGAGGTTGTGCACGCGACGATGTCGAGAAGCCGCCGCACGTGTGCCACCGCATGCTCTTCCGTGTAATCCTCTGTCAAAAAAAATAATTAACTGATTAAACATTAAAAGGATTAATATAACTATTAGTCCTTCAATTATATGCCTTCTGTTATTTTAGTCACTGAAATTAAATTTTGACAGCTTATTCCCTAGACTAGCTTATTCCCTAGACTATTAATTTTTTACCACTCTAGTAGAGGTGTCAAATGGATCGGGCCGTTCAGTGCTGGATTCGGTACGGTCCGGCCCAGTACTGTTACGGGTTGTGCCGGCCCGGCACGTTTGATGGGCTAGGGTTGGGTCATGGCTTCTCAATCTGCGGCCTAAGCCCGACCCTAGCTCCTGAAGGCCCGCGGCCCGGCCCAAGCCCGCGAAACGACCCGCCAGAAAACTCTTCAGCCCGTGAGGATTGTGACCGTTGGGCCCGTCGAGCCCAACAATCACAATTCAAAAAAAGCCCCCAAAATCTCCTATAAATACCCCTTAATCCCACCATAAATATCACACAATAATTCACTCTCAACTTTTCATCTCACTCTCATTATATCTCTCATCTTGTCTCTTTAATTTTGATTCTAAGCTTTTTCCTCGCGATCACTCATTTTCTTGGTCTTTCATTTACAAAGTTTAAGTTCAATCAATTTTCAGAAAATTGTCGCATCAAACTTTCATGATTTCACTGCTCTCCCTGAGCTTGGTGATGAGTCATTTTTTATGATGAAATAATGCCTCACGACCCCACCCCCACTGAACTGGAAAATGCTGTGGTTGATAATGTTTCAGTGCACAACGAGGAAGTTGGAGAACGCAGCAGGGGAAAAAGACAGCGAACTTCTCCTGCATGACAGTATTTCACAGAGAAGCCCCGACCAAATCCGAAAATAAGTGAAATAGAAATTCGTGCGGTATGTAAGTATTATAAAAAGTATTTTTCTAATAAAAAAAGTGGGGGTACTAGTCATCTGGATAGACATTGGAAAGCATGACTACCGTTGCACCAAGGTGGGAGTGTGGACTCCCGCCAATAAATACTATCACTCACATCACAAGGGTTGTAAAATTTTACATACGATGTACAACATGCTCATGAGGCACTAGCTAAATTTCTAGCTAGTGCCGAATTACCTCTTTCTTTTGTAGATGATGCGACGTTCGAAGAATTCATACAGACGACCTTCTGTCCGCAATTTAAACGGGTAAGTAGAAATACAACTCGTTTTGATTGCATGAAAGTGTTTTATGCAATGAGACAATCTCTAGTTGATAATTTTAGGTCTTTTAGTGCTACTGTATCTTGTACCTCTGATATATGGGAGTGGTGCAAAAAAACTGGATATTTATCCGTCACGGCGCATTATGTTGACGATGAATGAGTTTTACAAAAGAGAATAATAGGTTTTCGTTTATGTCTATATCCTCATAACGCAAATGCTATTTTTGAAACAATAATGGAAATTTTTGAGTTTTATGGGATAGAAGATAAAGTTTTAAATATTACTTTTGATAATATGTTAGCTAACACGGCTGGAATTAACATGCTCAAACGTAGTTTGAAATCAGCGTTTGGGGAGAAATTTTTTCATCAACAGTGCGCGTGTCACATAATCAATTTAGTAGTTCAGGCAAAAATTGAACATATTTTAGCTAATCTAACAAATATTAGAGAATCTTTATCCTTCATATCTAGTTTTAGAGCTTGGCTTCAAGAATTCAAATCATATTGTAGGAACAGTCAGATGCGCCCAAGAAGGTTCCCAACTAACGTGAGACATAGGTCGAATTTCACCTATTTAATGTTGAAGGCTGCACTCAACAGCTCATCACAACGTATGTAAACAGTAAGAACGATCAGTTTTTAATTTTCGATATAGAGTGGTAGATTGGTGAGTATTTTTTTTAAATTTCTAGAAGTTTTCTACAATGCTACTACTGAATTACTTTCCGAAATTTATTATCTTGTTGCACATTTAGCTTTACATCAACTATTTAATATTTTAGAAACATTTTCTTATTATAAGGATATTGAACTTTTTAGAAACATAGTTAAGCTAATGGAAACTAAATTTAAAAGTTATTGGTCAGGTTGTCCTATGCTATATGCATTAGTAACCATTTTAAATCATAGGTGCATAGTAGATGAGACTGAATCTTTGATGACTGCTACAACAAAAAATTTAGGTATTAATATGCTACTAACTATTTATGCCGCTAAGAAAATGTTAGAAAAGTTATTTGGTTTGTATGAAGAAAAATACAGCACATGTCAAAAAGAACAGGGAATTTTGACGTCAACTAGCAATTCGGGGCCTAAAGGCTCGTCGTGGAGATTCTTGAAGAAGAAAGAGAAAACGGTAGGATCCTCATCAACACAAGTGTCTACCGACTGGTAAAATATTATGAATCAAATTTTGTAATCAATGACGACAAACTGGACATCTTACAGTAGTGGAAAAGCAAGATCGATCATTTTTCAACACTGTCTATAATAGCTCGTGACATTCTGACAACTCAAGTGTCAATGGTAGCATCGGAGCAAGCATTTAGTGCAAGCATCCAAATTCTTGATGCATCCAGATATCTTGGAGGGGCTAATGTGCGTTAAAGACTGGGAAGATGCCAGAAGACGAAAACAACAATATACAGATGATTCAATGTAAGACTATTTTTCTAACTTAGAAATAACATAATCTTCTAGAAGCACTTAGGTTTTGTAATTTACTTATCCTATAATACTACACTCTTTTTTCCTTCACTAAGATTTTGTCACAATCTCCCCAGGGGTTTTACTTGGCAAGGCTTTCAACGAGGCAGTCATTTATGTGTACTTATTCGTATTATCTTAATTTAATAAAATCACATCTTTTAGGGTCATATGATATTTTTTTTATTAAATATTGCAAAAAAAAAATTACAAGGGCCAGGGCCTGGGCCCTTGCCCTTATGGACTAGGGCCGCGGGCCAGTTCCGGACCTAAGAATTTCTCTTCAAGCCCGTCGCTAGCACGGCCCAAGCCCGCCACAGGCCTGGGGTCGGATGTGACGTGCCGGCCCGGCACGACACGTTTGACACCTCTACACTTTAGTCATTACACATAACGATGGATATTAAGGGTCCGCTTGTTTCATATACTCAAACTCAAATAATTAATTCTGCTACAGTGTTTTCTTCTCATAAAAAATTTGAATTTCAAACGTTAGAATCAAGAATCATTGTTTGAGTATACACTCTAAACAAGCTCTCAATACTTTATATTCTTTAATGGGTGTTCTTTTATAAATTTAAATAGAAAACTTGAATTTAAAATTTAAAATTTTAAGAGAAAAAAAATTGTAGTAAAAAAATAAAATTGTAAGGGAAGCATATAAAAAGAGCAACTTTATTATTACAAATCACTAAAAAGAACAGTTTCCATTTAATATAACTATTTAAAAATAATTCACTTATTATGTGATTGAATGAAATTTCAAAAATTATTTACCAATTTTAATATATAAGAATCAAAATGGTCAACAAATAAAATTTCACGATGTAATATGGTAAAATTATTAAAAGTTTAGAATACAATACACCTATATTAAAAATTAAAAAATATTAAGGGTAAATATAAGGTGCGGCTGGTGTATGGTAAGGAAATCATGTGATATGCAAACAAGGGTTTGGCTTTTACCTTCAACGATGGCGAGATGGCATGGCTTGAGAGAGAGGATGTCCACCGAGTCTTTCAGTCTCGGTCCCCGCACCTGATAGAATTCAAAGATTGTGATTGGTCAACGTTCTTTTGTTCTGTGGACCTTTATGGTACATTGACCGTGGCGACCAATCAAAGTTAAACGTCATCCTCCAAGGAAAACGGGTTACTGGGTCCCACAAAGGGATTTTTTTTTGTTTTTAATTTTTGAGCGAGTTTTTTTATTTCCTTTAACTGAAAAAAAAAAAAAACATATATGCTACTCTTGTTTCTTCTGATACATCAAATCGAGCTTATTATTTTCTTTTCCCTTACTAACATTTTTCATATAAATTGAATACTCTGGCTCTTTAAAAAAAAAAAAAAAAACAAACAAACAAACAAATGTTATGATCGAGTTAATAGCTTAAATTGTTCTTAAACGAAAATAATAATTTAGGAAGAAAAAAATGCTATTATTAGTAATTCTTTTACCACAAAGACCCTTTTTTTACGCTAAGAAAATTAGCATGTTTATGGCACATTTAATTCGTTGATTCGAATTTTTAATTCGATTTGAGATGTGATTTTATGTGAGAATTTTTTATTTTCGCAAAAATTATATGTGACTGTTTCTAAATAACAAAATTTAAATTTTAAACTTAAATCGGCGAAATGAACGGTACCACCTTCTCAGTTATAATTTGATTTACATATTGACTAAGGGCACGCGGAGCTCTAATTATGTGGAGCAAAGGACTCGCGATACACCTAAATTGTGCTCAACTATTTATCATGGTTACAAGTTGATTCCATTCAAGAATTTCGTCGTTGGTCACAACAAAAAGCCACAACCTAGTAAAGTGTTCCAGCCGAAATGAAGTAAAAGTAAACGACAGCGTTATCAACAACTCAAAACAAGGCGTTACTTTAGCTAACAACAAATTAAATGCTACAATATATATTACAAGTTTTTTTTTTATTTCTTTCCTTTTTTTTTTGTCCAATGAATAAGTAGAATGGACTAAACTAGTTATCATTTAGAAGCTCTCCAAATGATTGTGGGCAAATCTTTAGGAAAAATTATAGTTAAAGAACTAAACAATAATGATGTGTTTTGTGACTAGTTATTTATTATGCAACACACACATAGTACGTCGCATGGTTAAAAATCAGTGGTGAATAAAATTACTCGGGACGAAGCAGTTGTGGAATAGAAAGTGTAAAATTATGCTTTACAATTGCATTTCAATATATATATATATATATATATTTTTATATATATATATATATGTATGTAAAATATAAAAACAAATATGAAAAAGAAGGAAAATTTCTGATAAGAGGAAAAAAATCAAAACAAGGACCCTTTAATTAACTCTTTTAAGACATAACTGAATTATGCGTTACGTGAGAGGATATTACGCATTAGTGTCCAAAGTGTCTGTCAGTAGGATATATAAAACTACATACGTATAATATATATATATATATACATATATATATATATATATACATACGTACATGTGTGTGTAGAGAGAGAGAGAGTGAGAGAGAGCGAGAGAGAGGGGAAGATTGATATGTCAAACCTTGAGGGTCACTTGTGAATCATCTGGCGTTTCCACAGTGATTTCAATTACGGTGGGCAAAACTGTAAATGAAAATTGAAAACGTTTTATCTGTGTTTGGTTGGCGAGAAACAGTGAGAAAACATAACCAAGCAGTGCACAAATAGTGTTACAGTGAAATTATTTATTTATTTTTTTTTTTTAAAACATTCAACCCAAGTCCAATACGACTTTTCAACTCGACCCCATAAATCAACTGAATCCAAATTCACCATATATCTATTGAAACCATAACCACAAAAATAAAATAAAATAAAGTAAAAAAAAAATAAGAAAGGAAAGAAAATACTGAGAAGAAAAGGAAAACGTTGAGGTTTGAAATTGAACCTTTCTCTTCTTTCTTCTTCTTATCTCCTTTGGCTTTATGTGGCTTAGCTTTGCCTGTTTTTGGAGCCATTTTGTTCCAAAACTCTTGGTGATTTTCGGGTTTTTAAAGTCCTTTTTGGGCTTCGATTACTATCTTCTTCAACGATAATACCAATGACTTCAATGGTTGAATCTATCGGATAAGCAAACCAAGCGTTTCCTCTTTCCTCCACGGCTTATAAAACTTTTCTCACCAGCCAAACAGAAACCCAATACAAAAAAGTATTTGGAGATAATATTTAAACCCAAAACAGGAAAAAAAGAGGACCAAATTAGCCCAACAAGTCACTTCCTCAAAAATCCAGCTGAAAATGCCAGTCCAAGCAATACCCAATACACCAAATATATTGCTTCTTTGTTTTTTTTTTTTTTTCTTTTTCTTTTTCTTGATGGTGAAAAAAAAGACGAAGAAAAGAAAAAAGCTCTTTTTACATGGGAAAGAATTTGGAAAGGGACAGAGTTGTGAAAGGGAAGGAATTGAATAGAAGTTGGTAGTGGAAGGAGTACAAGTAGTAGTAGTGAAGTGGTGATATTATTGATGAGCTATAATAAAGAAGTGCACAAGAAAGGAAAAAAATGGTGAGGGATTATTAGAGGAGTAAGAGAGTAAGAGAAAGAAGATATAAGTGAGAGAGAGAGTAGAGAGAGAGAGAGAGAGAGAAGAAAAATTTTTGGAGAAGAGAGGTGAGAGGTGGATAGGATAAGGTGAGATGGCCAAAGGCAATGCCTTTGTTACAGATGTATACAAAGAAACCGAAAATGTAAGGCGAGCAATTTGGGGCCTCTCATTTTTCTTCCCATTTCAAACTCTCTTAACACCTCATCACTTTTTTTCTTCTTTTTTTTTTTTTTTTTTTTTTTTTTTTTTTTATCTCTCTCTCTCTCCTTTTTATTTCCATCTCTTTCTCAATCTTTCCATATGGATTTTGTAAGCTTATGTTATAGGGAACTATTTCTATAACAAGTTAAGCAAAAGGCTATCATCATCATCTAGCTAAAATGGTCTCTTTGATAATGATGATGGGGAATCATTGAAAGCCACGTGTAATACTTTTATCTTCGTCAATTGTAAATAATAACGTAGTAAGTCTTCCCTTGCCATAACGTGCACATTGAGATTTACTACGAGTCTATTTGGTTTATAGATTAAAATTATGTGATTAAAATTATTTTTAATTTATGTGTATTTTTTATGAAAAAAAATATTATAACGAACCACGAATTATGATTCGAATTAGGGAACGAATCCCTTTACCAAACGGGCTCTACATATTCGGTAGCTCGTACCATGTAATATGAAGACACTTGTTAGACATGAATTGAGAGAATTTTTTTTTTTTTTTTTTTTTTTTTTTTTTTTTTTTTTTTTTATCTCTCTCTCTCTCCTTTTTATTTCCATCTCTTTCTCAATCTTTCCATATGGATTTTGTAAGCTTATGTTATAGGGAACTATTTCTATAACAAGTTAAGCAAAAGGCTATCATCATCATCTAGCTAAAATGGTCTCTTTGATAATGATGATGGGGAATCATTGAAAGCCACGTGTAATACTTTTATCTTCGTCAATTGTAAATAATAACGTAGTAAGTCTTCCCTTGCCATAACGTGCACATTGAGATTTACTACTAGTCTATTTGGTTTATAAATTAAAATTATGTGATTAAAATTATTTTTAATTTACGTGTATTTTTTATGAAAAAAAATATTATAACGAATCACGAATTATGATTTGAATTAGGAAACGAATGCCTTTACTAAACGGGCTCTACATATTCGGTAGCTCGTACCATGTAATATGAAGACACTTGTTAGACATGAATTGAGAGAATGAAATTACTTGCAAAACAAAATGGCATGAATTTGGTCCTTAAGTTTATTGTGAATTACATGTTACTTTCTTACGGTTATAAAGGAAAGAACTTTCTTTTTTGCTTTTCATATATAGAAGGTTTCAATTGGAAAAGAAAACATTCGGTCTTAATAATCAAAATGAATTTGGCACACAGATTAACAATCATTTCTTTCCATAAATTCTCTTTTGATTTGCACAAGTACTTATGGGAAACCTTTGCCAAACTCATTCTACGGAACACATGGATAAATGTTATGCCATTAAACTATAAATCAACAAGAAACATCAAATCTTACAAAAGTGCCTATAAAACAGGCATCGAATCAGACCAAACAAAATCAAAAGGATTAGAAATTAAAAGTTCAAGGTTCGTTCTTTTCACATGTTCAATTTGAGAATTTGAGTTAAAAAGTAAATTATATAAGAAAAAATACTGTAACAAAAAAATTTGATTTAAAATTTTTTGTGAGAAAACATTGTAAGAAAAAGATTGAGTTGTAATTTAAATTGTGAAAAAAACAGGATCTTAGTTAAAAAGTGGGCTACGTTGTCCTTTTCACAGAACATGTAGCAAACATCGCCACTTTGAGCTTGAGAAATGACATCTTAATACAATTAATAATCACGGACAATTCGATAAAATCTACACATAGATCATTCTTGTTTTAATCTTCCCCATTTTTCTTTAAATCCTCAATTCAATCTTTCTCATTTCCTTATCAATCCATTTAGCTCTTTTTTTTTTTTTTTTTTTTTTTTTTTCCTTCGCCTAAAGAACTACACATACCACTGAGTTGATTAACTAGGGTCACAACTCACGTAAAGAGAAAGATTGCCTTTCATGGTATCGAGAAGGCAGGAAGTCCCACAATATAGGGTACATTTTATTTCTAAGCTTAAAAACTATCACATATCCCATGACAAATGACTATACAAGAATTTCTATTTTCTTTTCAGTGACATGATTTGCATATAGTATATGCAACAATATGGAACAATTTTTGGGAGCATTGGCGTTGATAATAAATCTTTGGTGTAAATGACATGTGGATGAGCTTTATCTAGTACATATGATTGTAAAATCCAACAAACAACTACAACAAAATAACCCATGAAATCTCTGAACATTAGTTTGCAATGATTCTTTTTAAAAAAAAAAAAAAAAAAAGGTCTCCCAGTCTGTCACCCAAGTAAACTATTCTTGTTAACACTCATGCAGAAAAAAGTATATATATATATCAAGAATGGATTTTCTAATTCCAAAGATTGAGTGACAGAGCTGTCACTCTAGCACAGGTGACACCAGAGTTTAACTCCTGATTATCACCATGTAAGTTTACAAAAAAAAAAAAAAAAAATGAAGTGCATGGTTTGGTGGTATTAAAGCGTAGGCTCTTTTAAGCATGGTTCACAAATTTGGTCATTGAGGCCTCTACCAATATTTTCTTGTACTCTTCTGAAAAGCGTGTGCCCAACTTTCACATATAACCTCATATACTATCATTATTATTTTTATTTTGGCTAGAAGAGGAATTGCACTAGAAACCAGAATGAGAAGAAAAAACAGGCCAACGGGAAACAGCTTCTTTGGACCATACTTGTCCATTGCTTGCCATTTTGGCTATTCGGTAGGCCACACAACTTGGTTTGTTCCACTAGTCTTTTTTTTTTTTTTTATCCTTTTCTCTGTTGTCTACTCATATAGTTCATTCAAATAATAATATTTATAATAAAACAAGCTTTTGAGATTTTCTGATTCCATTAGTTTTTAGAGATTTCTACGGTAAGACTTAAAAAATTGAACTATCGGTAGATATATGTTTTTCAGCCGACTATTTTATATACCATTTTATTTTGATATGATTTTGAGACTAGAAATGTGCACTAGTCTACCAATAGGAAGTCCTACAATAGAAGGACCCTTAGTTTTATAATATGTCAAAACTTACTAAAACTACAAACACTTTGAGATTGAGACATATTAGCAACAATATGGCCAGACCCTTTTCACCCAAGTTTCCATATATTTCTTTTAACTTACCACAGTCAAACTTCTCTCTCTTTTGATACTTTGTTGTCAATTTTTTTTTTTTTTTTTTTTTTTAACAAATTACCATAATACAAGGGAATTAAAGAATTAGAGGTTTGGACCATTACCATATGAAACTAATACCAAAAGGGAAGTAAATGGAAATGGATATATATGGATATACGTCCTAGATGGAAGCAGGGTCTTGTTTGTAAGCTCATAAATTTTCTTTTGCATTGGTCTGGCCATGAGTAGTTGTGCAACACAAGCCAACAAGCAACAACTAACTCTTTTTCATTGTCAGTTTCTCCTCCTCACCCCTTTCTCACATGCCTTTCCTTTTCTCCTAAACCCCTTATTCCCTATCCCATTCTCTCCACCTCTTAACTTATCCAAACACAATTGCAGCCATCCATGATCCAAGTCTGTTGTAACTTGTCAAAGTTTTAAAGATCGGTTTCGAAGTTTTCAGGTGTGCTTGGGTTGAGCTGAACAATGGTGTTTAATACTAAACTCAATCAAGAGATTTAATAAGTTTTTTCATTGGTATTGTGGAAAATGTGCGGTTTTCCATTTTTGTGTTGTGTCTTTTTTCCCCCTCTAATCACCAAGATTTTCAATAGCACAACAGGATTCTTTAAGAAATATCTTCACTGCTTTCTTAAGATTTTACTTTGTCAAAATCTTTAGAGAAGAAGACCCCCCAATAATTGTGCGTGTGTGTCAGATGCTAAGTTGTAGAGCCCCTGAAACAAAATTTCTTCAACGGTAGTTTGGAAATTTCACGTTTGTAAAATTCAGTTGCCCTAGTTTTCTTATAAAAGGAGCATCTTTTATGGGATTATTAGAGAGGTCAGAAAAGACACAGAGTTATAAAAGTGTGATTTTCTCTCGTCAACTTATTATTTTTTTTTTTATCATAACGAACTACTGCAGAAAGAGAAAAAGGACATA